AAAAATTTTAAAGTCTAAATTGTGTTTTCCCTTATAAACATTATCATCTCCATTTAACTGATGCACTGGGATACAAAAAGTTAAGCTTGAGATGTACAAAAAGTGTTTCAAGAAAAAACAGTTGGAGGTTTGGTTCCCACTGAAATCAGTGCAGTTTGGGAAATTAAACACTATTCTGGATTTCCCTCTCTCTACCATTCAAAGCCTATTAGTCATGGAACGTATCCCTCTTATCAAAAGGAACAGATTGCTACACATCAGCTATCTGTGGCAACTGCTGTGTGTAAATACCTGCTTGTACATCCTGTGGGTCAGTGTGCCCACCGCAGTTACTGTGCGTGCACAATAACCGGATGGGAAGGATGGCTGGAGGGAAGTTGAAGACTGAAGCTATAGCAACCAGCTACAAGAATACTTAATGTTTGCATTTGTTCCTGTAGCCCTAAGAATACTCTTGTGCAAAATACCCTTAATAATTTGTTTAACTGTGGTTGCATTAGATCAAGCTGAAACCTTTTTTTTTTTTTTTCCAGTAGGATTTAAATGAACATTTACATAAGTTTTGCAACTGTTTTAGACATTCTCTTTTGCTTCGTGGAGCTAAACCAGAGCTAGGGAAAGATCCATTAAGAGCTATTTTAGGTTTTACAAAGGAAACTCAAAAGAATTGAAACAGACTGTTCTACACCAGACAAAAACTTTTTTAAGTTTAAATTTACATGTTTATTTCTGAGACAACTATAAATGTCTCACAGCATGTACATATTAACTTCCACATTCAACCAGCAGAATAAATCACGAAGACTAAATTTTTCCTGTAAGAATAAAAATCACAATCCTAAATACGATTATAACACCACTATCACACAGGATTTTTACTGTAAATTGGAAATATGTCATGAACCTCTAGTGAAGGATAGTCCCATAGTTATATAACGGCCAAAGAGGAACAGATTTCCAACATTGTCTTTAAAAAACAATCCTGAATCACACACAGCTTTCTGAAGACATCTGTGGAGGAAGGGGGCGGAGGAGAGGGAAGCAATAATTGTTTTCATAAAAAATGCCCCCCTTTACTAAAAAAGGTTTTGTATCATATCGAATTCCCTCCCCCAAAAACCCCTTAGTTTTTTAGAATTCAGGGAGACATGGGGAAACTGTTTCATTGTTTGCAAGCAGTAAAGCCCAGGTGCAGACAATCAGCATTTTCCCGCTGTGAGACTGAACTAATTCTGCAGCACAGAGAAAATCAACAATCTGTCTCAAAAATGGCAGGAAAAGGAACATCACCTTTTTCTGGTCCTATACAATTTTTTGTTAGCTTCTTTCTCTCTGCCATTTAACTCTGGTGCCTGGCTCATCCCTCCCTACTTTTCAGAACTGTTTCCTTTCTTTCTTCCTGCAGTAGCTGGTAGGTCCAGTTGATTGAGCCAATTACTCTTCTGTTACCTTATTTCTTGATTTCTCTACTCTGTTTATGCATTCACAAACTCACTTAGGAAAAAAAGAATTGTCTAATTTTCTTTAAAAGGAGAAGGTAGGCTCTCCTTTGGAAAGAACTGCACACCTGTGAAAGCAGATGAAAACCTCAGCTCAGTATCAACGTGAAGTATTCAACTGCCCAGTGAGAAAACAAAAGCAACAGGCCCAAGGATCTTAAACTGGCCACCTAAAAGACAGAGGTCACATTGTAAAATTCAGCTTATTTGGAAAATGAACACAATGCTTGCATAGCTGACCTATTTAAATCTTTTATTTCGTAAAGAATTTATGCAACTTCTAAAGGAAAACTAAGAATTCAGTTCACTTATACTTGACTTCTAAATGAAGGTTATAAGTCACTGGATGATCATTGGAAGCACTGTGTATCTTCATATTTCACCAGTGTTATGCAAGAAATAAAGAAAATGAAACTCTGGCTCATATCTAATTCCTCAAATGTTTCCAATGAGAGAATAATCATAAATAACAGTAAACTATCTGCTTGTACCTAAGCCATTTTCCAAAACCAACCACTATCCAGCAGATTATATCCGCTAAGAAGCCTATTTCCCCCACACCAGCAGTGATGTATTCTTCTGTCAGTAGTCAGTTTTGTTTTTAATTTAGCAAACTTTCCTCTATTCAGAGACATGAGGTTGTTTACATTATTTCTGTAATGCCAATCAAGAAAGCTTGTGTACATCATGATACAAGAATTACTTTTTAAATTCAGCCCTCCCAAATATGCAGACAATAAACTTAAAAATAATTCATATTTTTGATTGTTTGCCCCAGCTTTTTTTAAGGGGAAAAGCACTTCTGATTTCAGTTTATTAAAAAAATAAAAGTAAAGGCATATAATCTGTCACATGGGCATTGCAGATTTTAATAAATTGGTTCAGTTCCTTTTCAGTTTACTGTAGCGCAAGATTTGCTCTCCCCAAATTAAAGTGAAAAAATATCTTCTGCGCTTTTTTTTTTTTTTTTTAAATTAGAAATACTAACATGACTTTATTAGGAAGAACACAAAAGGTGGGCTACATGTATTCTCATTTTGGAAAATACATGGAAAGTACAAGTGGCAGAGAAAGCATCATCTTCATAAACAGAACAATAAATCCAAACATTTGAAAGTACTTACACGTGTGACCCAAGTCCATTACAAGTACTTTTGAAGTATATAATCAAAATATATAGGGAATAAAATGTACTGTGTGTAGTCATCTCTGAAATACAGGAGACAGGAACCTCAAGAACACAATGTTAACATCTGGAAAGAACTACAAGAAGCATTCAGAGAGCTAGATTTGTATCTTAAAAATCCGAATTTCACTTAAACACTACCATTTCCAGCCCTCCCTCTCTTGTTATATTGTCACAGAATCCTTAACAACTGAGGAAACTGTAAGGACTTCATTTTTATACATCCATCTAGAGAACAAAAAGAGACAGTTTACTAAAAGACAGGATTCTACAAAAATGAACTTGAAGACAGATACTTTTATCTACTTTTCATCCTCAACCAATACACCAATAACATATGATAGCAGTTGGCAGGACTTCTTCAAGGGAAAAGTGGTCCAAGGTCAGCTCATGAAAGCAAGCTTTTACTGAATGACAGTAGTACTGAACCTCCTTTGGCTACTGATAATATCATTGCTGAAGTTTTAAAGGAAGTTTAGGAAGTTCAAGCTCATCACTGAATTAATGATTCAAAACATAGAATTAGTACAATAAACTTTGTTCATACAGTGTAAGAGGGCAGAGAAATGCACAAAAGCCTGGTAAGACTGCAGTATCCCCACAGCCTCTTCTCATATAAAAGTATGTTTTACTGGCTCTACAATCACAGAGACTGTAAAAGACTGCAAAAAGCCCAAGAAATTAGCTCATGACTCCAGGCCTTTCAAAGCACCAGTCCATCTTTTAAACTTCTCTTAACTCATGAAAGTCTTCTGTCTAAGCTTCAACAGTTCCATGGAGCAGACCTGGGTGTCCTTTCAGTCAGCATCAGGCATAAGTAAGGAAATTATTGCCCACTTCTTTATTTTCTATGGCCCAGGAGTTCATATTTCCCCCTCAGCATCTTTATTGGATAAAAATGGATTGCATGATAAAACAAGGCTCTCCACAGCATCTGAAATACCTACTCAATCCCAGCAATGAAGCTGCAGTGTTTATATTGCACTTCACATTCTTTTTCAGTCACACTTGTATTTAATAACAACAAAACCAAAAATTTACGATTTGTAGCCAATATTTATACTTTCCATTTGGCAGTTCTGATAAATATTCATACTGAGACAAAACTGACTTGGCAGACTGTATTTATCAGCATTTCATACTAAAACATTTCATCTAGAAAGCCAACTGTATTTGCAACAGTTTTAAGAAGCTTTTAAGTATATTATGAGAGAAACTCACAAAGAACACAAAATCAAAATAAACAAGTAAGACAATAAAAGAGGGTTGGTGGGAGCACTAACAGTTCAAAATTTAAAGATTTGTTATTTGTAATCCCTAAAGTTTATCTAGTGCTGAGTACTTTAGAAAGACAATTTTCTTTTCTAAACACTAAATACACTTTCCAAGTTCCCAAAACATCATCCACAATACTGTACCAAAAAGGAAATGAAGCACAGTCAAGAATTTAATCTATAGTCCTGGTAATTGCAAAATTTGACATTTTTTTTTCAAATATTGACTTCTAAAAGTAAAACAATCCCGTGCTCATCACTACCAGAAACACAAATTTTACAGAACTAACTCAGACTTAAGCGATAATTTCTGTGAAAAGCAACACAATTATACAGGTCACAATTTCAGGAACAGTTGTACTGACAACAGAGGAAAATGAAATCATACAAGTCTGAAAACAAAACAGCACTAAAAACTGATTTTAATGCTGAAATATGTAATCATATGCATGCATAATGAAAGACTTGGATAGCTTTGCTGTGTAGTGTATTTATTTATATATTTAATAATTCCTTTTTTATTAACAAAGAGTTGGGATCTCATCCTATTTTAATATAAAATCCTTCAATCTTCTTTTAATCAATCAAACATTCGATCTTCTAGCTAGGATAAGTCTCCACTAATTATAAGATTTCTGATGCTTTGTCAAGGAAAAGAGCTCTGAACAACCTACTATAAGTAAAATTTACAAGCATTAAAGATGTAGTAATTTCACTGTTGATCCTTTCAAAACAATCACCTCAACACTCTTGCTTTCCTTCAGAGCTTTCTCCCCCAAGTCCTGATTCCTGCCCCTGAAAAAATTCTCATTTCTAAGCAAGAGTCCTCAGGTCATCAACATTAATGATCACTACCAAATTTAACATATCTAATGAAAGTGTGCATTAGTTGACAAACAAGGGTATTGCATTCCTACTGCACCTACTTAAGGAATAGAACATGAAATTTCATGTATCCTACATCTCAATCTCTTCTTGTGTATGTGATTATAAAGGTCAAAGTAAGATGGGAACCCAGGTGTGAGGAACAGCATCACTCACCATTTCCTGAGATGCATACTTTGGATCTTCAGGATCAACTGACCAGTAGCAGTAATCAAAGCTGAAGGCCACAGTTTTTTCTCTTGAGTCCCAACTGCTATCAAATCTACTGTCAACCTGACAATAAAAGGAAAAAGACAGAAAGACCAATTTACTCTAAACATGCTGATCAGAAAGCATATTTCAAATTAACAGGAAGTTTATCTAGGAACTGTATTGTGTAAAAGGACTGGCAAATAGTTTAACCTCTTCATTGGATTTTCTTTGATGCTTAGAGTGAACAGAGACATCCAAGACCTGCTGAAGTATTTTTACTGGAGGGTTCATTTACTGCATCTAAGGTTCTCCAAGGTGTATACAATAAACATAATTCAGCTAATTCTACATATTAGCAGGAAAGCTTTAACCTATGAGGTATTTCTTAATCATTCTCCTGTTTCACTGAGAAAACAGAAATGAGGTGCCAGCTGAGAAGACAAAACCATTTTTCTCACTGCATAGTTGGAAATGCAGGTCTCTTCCCCCATTTCCCCTTTGCTTTGTCATGGTAGCAAGCTAATGCTTCTGCCATTGGGACTGCACAATTACTAACCTTTATGGGTTAGTAACAATGACAGTAAAGCCTTTCTAGCACAACAGTAAGAAATTATGCTTGAAATTAAGGGAATCATGTAAGTCCTTCTCTAAAATCTTGGCCAAGTGATCCGTAATGAAAGAGATAAGCTTATGACCAAGGAACTATACATTGTTGATCTACTCACCAAATGAGAAGAGTAATGAGTCAAAACATGACACAAAATTAACAACATTCACATGCAATTTTGACCCAATTGGAAACATATAACCTGTAATATAATCTACTATTGCAATAGCATAAGTAGAAAAAAAGGTTTGTTATAAAATGGTAGCCAAAACGCTCAACACAGAGCCCCAAAAACTAAGGGTGACAATGTTTGTCTGAAAGATTACTGGATACAGGGTAGTGTAAAAACAGCCACCAGCTGTGAGGCTTATAAGGAAAATGAGTTTACGGGCCCATCTGACAGGCTTGTTTTTTTAAACCAAGAAAGAGTAAAGCAGAAGAGGACAGAAATAGTTTTAAATTATCTTTGAAGTAAAGGTTTTCTACATATTTTAAACCTGCATGACACTAAAGTTGTCATATTGAATTAAACACAACTAAGGTTTCCTTTAGTCAGAATTAATGCCTTTATGAGCCTTTGGATCATCTATTACAACATTATCAATATGCCACAGTTAAGAGTATTTTATGTTATTACCTCTTGTAATAACCTTTTCTTAGGTTTTCTGCAGCAGTAAGCAGAAGACAGTTTAGAGCACTGCCTTCCTACAGCAATGTGCAAAAAACGAAACAAAAATACTCTACCCCTCCACCTCAGGAGAAGCAGCCTCTGCTCACAGAGCTGATTATTTCTTCTAGTCAGAGGGTGTTCGTTTTGAACTACAGAGTGCACTTACCCTGGACAGCACAGTGTGAATATTAGTGTATAAATATTAATTTATAGTCTGTCTTGGATTCATCAAATACTGTTTAAATTTAGCTTATGCATAAAGCAAACTCCTCACCAATTACAAAATCTCAAGAGATGCGACATCGACAAGCCAGCCCCTGTATCTGCAAACAATCCTTCTTGGCCTGCTACAAGCAGTCTGCCTTGCTGCTGAGGGTTCCCCTGCATGCCAGGGCAGGCCACAGCTCCTCTTTAAACAAATGAAACATAGAAAGCTCTGGGTCTAACAAGGACCATCTGGAATCAGTCAGGCAGCTGCAGGACCATGACCTGCCAGGATGGGCTCACCCAGGGGGACAGGCAGCCTCTCAGGCCCCAGACCTCACAGCCCTGTGGTGGAGACCAAAGCGTTCCCTGACTAAGTGCCAGAAGAGACAGTGGCACACCCAGAGGATATGTGTCTCTTCAAGAGCTCTGTCACATGTATAAGGAACTGAGGAAAAATATTTCAAAAAGTAGTGAGTCTCAGGCTTTGTAAATACAGCCTTTGAAAAGAGAAGATACAGAAAATAACACTACTTCCACAAGATCTCTCGTACCCCTAATATTTTTCCCTCTTATTAAAGAAATAAGAAGCACTTGTAATCAATACAACAATAATTATAATGAAAAAGATAAATAGTTCAAATCCTTTCATTCAGTTTCTGCCAAGGTTTCTCTTCTAAACTGAGTGTATTATTTCTCCTGAAACAGCAATCTGGAATAAGTGGACTGTTTGCAGATATAAAGAAAAAGGAGACAAGACATTAAAAAGTCATCCATCTTCTGGGATCCCCACAATAATCTCACAGTTCATTTATTTCAGTTTCAAGCAGAAACATTTTTGACAACACAGAATTGCTTTGCTGCTGTTCTATTAATTTAGTGAAGGACTGTGGCAGTTTTAAGTAGTTCAAGAGCCTAAAGCAGAAGACTAGCACACTGGCTCCAGAACTCTCATGAAGGATGATGGCTACACTCAGTTTATTCTTACAGTTCTTGGTCTTTTACCAAGGCCTGAAGAGTAGCTGAAGACATTTTGTTTCATGCAAATCAGTTGCACTCTGAGTGCAAACATGAGAGGAGGAGAAACATAGCCAAAGAAATTATCCAGATGTTAGTAAGATGAGCACAAAATCATAAACAGTTTACTAACAGCTTTGAATGATGGCATGCAGCCAGATTGCAGAAGCTTTGACAAATATAAAATGCAGGCAACACGTTACATCCTTTGTCAAAAAACCCCTCAAACCTGTACATCCACCCCAAAACCAAAACACTCCTCCCACATACTTCTGCTGCAATTGTTCTAGAGCTGTGCCAGCTTAAAATTCTCCGTTAACATTTCTATTAGAATCACCCAGTAGCCAAGCAAACATGAAAAAGTATCAAGATATCAGGATCCTTATATGAGAAAGAGAAGACAAATAGCATACCTTTACATTTCTGACTTTTGCCACTTTGTCATCAATTTCTACAATCACTCTTCCTCCTTCTGCAGTCTCTCTGGAAACAAAACACATTAAAAAAAAATAACATTTAAAATATGAAGAAACAGAAAGGTGCATGTCAGTTTTCTAAATCCCAGAAATAACATTCACAAGGAAGTAGAGTGGAGCACTGGTAGACTGGCTATGCTTTGCGGAGTATGGATCCACATCACACACTTATGAGCCACAAGAGTTGTCAGGTCTGACTTTTACCAGTTAATTTTTACCAGTTAATCCAGAGTGTTTGTTGTAGTCCTCAAAAAGCACTCTTTAGAAAACAACCAACAAAACAAAACAAACCCAAAAAACTTTCCTGAAATGTAAACGGACAGGATTGTTCCTCAAGTGCAAAGGACCATGCACCCATAAACACTAAAATTCCCACTGAAAGCAGATATGACTGGCTACTACAGACAACTTCCACATCCAAAATTAGTCATATTAGAGAAAAGAAAAAAAAATTTAAAAAAAGGATGTGGCCAAAGGAAAAAAACAAACAAACAAACAAAACCAAACACCCCCCCCCCAAAAAAAAAACCCCAAACAAAACAGAATCAAACAAAAAAACCCAAGCAAGCAACCAACCAACCCAACACAAAAAAACCATCTTATTTTTGGGTGAAAGCATGATAGCTATTTGAGGATGTTCTTAATCTCTCTCAATAATTATAATGGATTTTTTTATATCTAGTTGGATAGAAATAAGGAAGAAAAGGTCAGTGCCCTATTTCTCTGACTTCAGTACTGAGAAGCTAAAAATAAGAGAAACACACTTTATATTTCTTCTATATTTTGCTGCGTGCTCTAGTACTGACAAATCTTGTAAGCTGTAACTTTCTGGTAAAGTTTTTTTGGAATGAAGCCTAATGCCTCTCTAAAGCTGTAAGAAATTGATTTAGAAATAAAAATTTTGTTCTTAATGCAGTTTAGGCATGCTTTGTTTAAAATGAAGCTGAAGGTGCATTGTCATCTGGACCAACAGGTGTTCCTTTCCTTTTACTTTGCAAGCAGGGGGGCCATGTTGTGTTCAGCACAGGCACTAACAAAACTCTGTTCTGTTCTTGCCCCAGGGGCCTGGGTTATACATCTGTCTTTGGAGGTTAAAACCAGTTCTCTCTGTATCACTGTATTGATCACTATACGTGATCTTCTTAGTAAATTGTAAGTCTGAGTCGTAATCTCTCGAGCTGGGTTCATTTCTCCTGCCGATTTACTTTTAAACCAGCACAGATGTATCTATATCCCCCTGATAATCAGCTGGATCAGTATCATCAGGTCAGTTAAAAATAGATAAACTAAGGCAATACGTAGAAAATTCAAATCCAGTTTATATCCACTCATTCATGGCCCTACATCTTCATTTTAACAAATTTCCTTACATGTGCACAGAAACGTTTAGTCCCTCACTGATTACAATCTGCTTTCACTGAAAGCTTTAACTTTCAGGTGGCAAAAAGCACAACAACCCCTGCCTGGAGTCTTTCCTCTCAAGTTCTCAGGTTTTACCCCATGCTTTCTGAACAAAAACATCCAAAACAATGCCTTAGGACGCTTAAGATTTCCACAAAGAAAAATCACTGTAGCATTTTAGTTTTCCAAGCATAAAAAAGTTTTAAAAACATTTCTGAGCATAGGCTGATCCCATTTTGCAGACAGAAGTAATGCTTCACCTTGAAGTCTCTGTACTTTACATTACTGATTTTGAGGTACTTGCCTTGAGACAGACTGAACTTGGTACTTCCTGTGACTCATATTTATATTTGGCACTTCACATAGAAAACACAAGGACAGCTCCCAGAGATTTTAGTTAAGCTGAGAGTGTTCAGTCACCACTGCCTCAAGTCAGATCCCAAGAGAAAGGGAAACATATTATACACAGCTGGACAACAAATGTTGCATTACAAATAGTTGAGTACTGAACAGAGACCTCCCAAAGCTCCCTAAAGAACAAATGAACAAGGACAAGTGTCTAAGGATACAGTCTGTATCTAAGGTAGAAATGAGCAAGTGACTCATTTAACCTGTACACGGGTAACTTTATAGATGTTTTGACCAGCAAATGCTTTCCAACATAAATTAGTTTAGGGACTTTCATATCCACGTACAAACGTCTGCCAGGTGAGCTACTGGACAAAACTGACAGTTGCTCTGTACAGCAGGGCTGATCTAAGACAAAATGAGACATTTTGACAGAATTCCACAGTAATCTGAGAACAGCAGAAGACAGACAAAATCAGAGGGAGCCTTTAGGAGGGAGCTTACTTCAGTTACACATACTCTTTCCTTCACCACCCAGTATGATCTCAGCCCTATCTTGCTTCCCAATCCCATGAGCATCCTTCATTTTCAGTCCTACTGTTAATCCTCCAGTCTCATCATCTCAAATAGTTCACTGAGTTCATATCCTTCTCCTCCTATGCACACACATTGTCTCTTAGGGGTACTTGCTGCTCTCTCTGACATCTTGTCCATGGGCCCACGTTCACTTCTAATGTCTTCAATTGCTCTGCAGGTTTCGTGTCCCTTCTCCTATTGCATTATAGATGGTTATAAGCTGATCTCTGTGCTCCAAAGGTACCAAATCCTACTCTTTTGTCAGTGTCTACCCCAATTTACTTGTACACTCCATAATTGAATCAGAATTGCTTCTTCTTGGACACCAGCTGAGGTCAGCAAACAGATTATTGAGAATAAATCAGACAGAAGATCTTGTTTTTCAGGTCTCATTCCTGGGCTTCAATTGTTATTTGGACAACACTGAGCTCAATTTACTAAAGTAGTGCTCAATGAGGGTTTTTTCAATGGGTCAATACTAGAGAGTACAAACTCAGAGAAAGCAGATCCCTTAAAACAACTACCTGCTATGTTATTATAAGTCTTCACTGAGCATGTTAAATAATTTTAGTTGTTTAGAGCTTGGACAAAAATGCGAAGATTCAGAGGGGTGATTTAAAAAATACACATCAGATTTCAAATTTTAATTCAATCGGGAAATTCAAATAAAAGGTCACCGTAAGTTGCTCTTATATATTTTAAAACATAATTTCCCTGTAACTGGATCCCCTGCAGCAGCTGAACTGTTCTGGGTAAAGCATAAAAATAATTTTAAGTAAATCTAGCCTGAGGCAGGCATTCATGAATAGAGTATTTGTACTCAAATGTCTGAAATCTGGAAAAGCTTTTAATAGTTTTAAATGCCAGAGTATTCTAATTGCAGATATCAAGCAACCTTAACAACAAGCAGTGTTCTCAATCCCAGCTATAACAACTACATGAAACTCACTGCCTTCAGTCCACATGTACTATACATAACCCTATGAACAAATGTATTTACATCCTAGGTTCTCATTGACTGATGTTCTCCCAGGCCACAGTCACTACTGAACATTCAAGATAAAGAAGAGATTCTAAATGTAAAATCTTGGAGATACAAAAATTTTCTGGATATAAAAATTTTTATACTCATATATACATATGTACTTATATAAAATAAACATAAACCCAGTAAGATACAAACAACACAAGATAAAATCGCCACACCACCTTTTACCACAGGGTTCAAGGATTCCACATTATGCAGCTGTAAAGTTCTATGCAGCAATCAGGTACCTTTGTTTGAGTCTCACAAAACAAAAAAGCCACCAGCAAACAAGAATAGAAATAATATCTCCCCTTGCTCTGAGTGCAGATTCACAGGGCCCCGACTTTTATCTTAAATGCAGACTATTGCTACAAGATTACCCTTTAATGCTCCAACCTCCCACACGTGTTCCTACTTTCTAGCAATCACACACCCATGCAATGACTCAGATCAGCTATGATCAGAAGAAGAACCACACCAAAATAAATATTCAAGGTGTCACAGGACCAGCCAGCCCTTCCAGAGCACTCAGCACAGCTGTCACACAGCTGCTAAGCCAAAGCAAGAGAAAGGGCAGGAACAGAGTTGGTGAGAATGGAGATCCCTCCCTATTCTGCAGCTTACAGCCTGAGACCAGGGAGCATAAACAAAACAACATACAGCTGCCACCAGCTCTACAAACTATACATTCGATCTCCCCATAAACACATGTTTATATCATGATTCATTTAGGTACAAACCAGAGAACTCTGGGAAAGCAAGCACAGTTTAATACCAAAAGGCCGGGAGGCAAAGCAGACTCACAGCTGTTCTGGATGTTCTGACCGTAACTCCAGATTGCAAACACTACAAAAGCTCTCTCAGCAAAACCTGTATTTGTCAGCACAGTCTTACACATATGTGCAACAGTTTGCTTTTGAATGAAGAAACAACTCATCATCCTTAGGAATGGGTGCTCTGCTCCACAGGTATGAAAGCTGTATTCTTTGCACCAATAAAATCAACTTCAAAGTACACTTCTCCAGTAAGACATTTGACTTCTACTGCCCAGAAGTCACTGCGGCCCTAACATTTAGTTTCCCCATCCTCCCCTCTTCCTCACTTCTTGAAAAATGCATACTGTGTTCGGGAAATGCCTCTCCTAAACTGCTTTGCAAGAAAACAAGTTATCTGTACAAAGATTAAGCTGTAGAAAGACCATTTAATGGTGCACATCCCAGGAAAGACCTGGATCTTTTCAGTCACGGAAAGCTTTAAAGAAATGAAGACCCAGCAACAGAACAGTGGCACAAGTATAGGATGCAGTGGCAGGGCTCTAACAGGGAGCTGTGTGAGAGACCTGACAGACTGCTGCAGCAGTCCAGAAAACACAGGCAGCCCAAAGGAAATCCCACACCATTTGCCATTCCTATGACAAATCATTTCTGCAGCCAACATGTAAAGCTAATGCGACCCTAGAGGGACAAAGACACTCTGCAAGATGTAGAAGAATGAGCCAGTGGAAAAGAATCATGGGAGAATCAAGACCCTTGAGAGGGACTTTTACACAGCTTGCTGGATCTCACTGAGATGAGTTCAGACACAGAGTACAGAAGTGCAAGGAGGTATACAGAGCTGGAGGAAGCAGTGGGTAGAAGGAAAGGGGGCAGTTCTTT